GGGTTTTGCAGTAAATCATTAAATCATTCATAACTTTTGTATTATCCTCTGAAATTACACCAAAATCTCAGACAATAACAATTAATATCGTATTTATTGTCTGTGCAAAATTATAGAATATAGAACAACTTTGATAAAAACTTATACCTATTTTTCTGACGAAGACAATGCCGTTCTGAACATTTTGGCCGCAACTGTATTATATTCGTTCTCATTACATTAATATATATATATATATATATATATATATATATATATATATATATATAAACCTTGTTCACATTAATTGAAACAAAACGAATAATTTCGTTATTGTTTACTCTTTTTTTATCGTATTTTTCCAATGAAACCTGATCCAGTGCCTTTGTTAGTACTTCGCATGTCCATTCCACAAAATCATTCCTTGCAGATTGACCACAAATTCTCGATTGGATTTAATTCGAAGATATTTCATAAAAAGCTAAAATGCCAACCAACCTTACAACCCGGCTTTTGGCTGTAAAGTCTCCTCAAACAAGTGGAAGGATCTTTCAACTTGACTGAGGAAACTTTACGGTTGTAAAGGGTTGCGAAATTGGTTGGCATTTTAGCCTTTTCCTATATATATATATATATATATATATGTGTGTGTGTGTGTGTGTGTGTGTGTGTGTGTGTTCATCATGACATAAATTATCATGTTTATATTGAACAATAAAAACATATTAAAAAATTAAAATCTTCAGACACATTGGGTTGTAGATTAATATTCTTTCGTATTTTTTTTTTTGTACTATTATTGCATTTAGATTCCTCGACTAGTTTCTTCCAAAATGGCCATCATCGGGAGAAGAAATATTTCTGCTTGCTTGTAGCAGTAAACTACAGAAATGAATCATATATATATATATATATATATATATAAGAAAATATATTCTTAAGGTGTGCTATATTTCTGGGATAAAGTGCTCAATATCAGAGATACAGCCTGTGTAAATATAAATATAAAAAGTGAACATTGAAGTCAACACTTAGGAGGCGACAGTCTGTTTCATGAAACAGACAATGTTGACTTCAACGTTCACTTTTATATTTACACACGCTCTATCTCTGATATTAAGTAATTTTATCCCATAAATATAGCACACCTTAAGACTATATTTCTATATATATATATATATATATATATATAGTGAGTGAGAGAAAGAGAGAGCGATCGATGGGTAAATTTTTGCAATTTTACAATTTTAATTTCACCTAAGCACGTTGTTTTGTTTGTTTGTTTTTTTTTTTTTTTATTTTGTCGACTGCACAGTATAATAGGGTCAGTTGGGCACCGTCTGTGAGAAAATTAGCATCATGACGCAATTAACTCTTCGGAACGGCATGTTGTACTGCTTGGCATTCGTGCCGAAAGCTCCAATACGAACATTTCAGAGGGTTTGGGTATCGATATCATATTGCAGAGGATTTGAAAACAATTGGATGATATATCCAGTCAACATAATGGTGTTTCGAGTGATGACTATTGATGGCGATGTTATGTCTCAATTTATCTTGCAACAGGGCCTCAGATCCGACTTGGAGGGCTACATCAAGTGCCTGGAAGAAGTAGTGCTGCTCTGGGTCAAGAGGGTGGCTGCTGGAAGATACTATGTCTGTCAACAGGACTCTGAACCATATCACACAAGCAGGAGAACCAAGCCATTGCTGTCAGACAATTTCTGCGACCACATTACTCCTTAAATCTGGCCACCTAACTCCCTAAACTGCAACCCCCTTGATTATTATGTGTGGGGTGCAGCTGAGCGGGAAACCAACAAAACTCCTTGTAACACCAAAGATGAACTGAAGGCAAGGATTATGGTAGCATTCACCAATTTAAACAAGGAGACCGTCCAGAAGAGTTGCTGGAGATTCCAATGTTGTCTGGAGGCCATGGTTGAAGCCAATGGCGATTTTACTGAATAAATTTACTCTTTACTATTTCAAGATATTTTTGTGTAATTTTGGTAAATATATCTGTTAAAATGAGATATCAGTATTATTTTCATTTTTGTGTCTTTTAGACAACAATTTATTCATCGCACTATATATATATATATATATATATATATATATATATATATATATATATATTCACCCATCGCACCCTGTAAATAGGCATTGTTGCTAATTTTTCTATTAACAAGCATTGTCGCTAATTTAGACGACAATTCATCCATCGAACCCTGTAAATAGGCATTGTTGCTAATTTTTTTCTGCAAATAGGCGTTGTTTCTAATTTAGACGACAATTCACCCATCACACCCTGTAAATAGGCATTGTTGCTATTTTTTTCTATAAATAGTCGTTGTTACTAATTTAGACGACAATTCATCCGTCGCACCTTGTAAAATGGGCATTGTTGCTAATGTTTCTATAATTAACGTTGTTGCTAATTTATACGACAATTTATCCATCGCAACCTGTATATTGTTTCGTATTGATACAAGCGTATTTACTTTTAGTGGATACACGTGCTTGAGTTTATAATTATTTATTTTAATATGTTTCCATCGCGAAAAAAAACATTAAAAAAAATTATTATAATATTATGTTCTACAGTGTATCGAGCACTATTTTTTTTTTAAAATAAATGCTAAAGAACTCAGGATTATAAATCTAACTTTTCTTTCTTTTTTTTTTTATATATATATATATATATATATATATATATATATATATATATATATATATATATATATATATATAAATTATTTGCTCTGGATTTACAGCCCTCTGGATTTACATTGAGCTCACTGGATTTTATCCTCCCTAGGTTTACCTATACGGATTAATAGTTTTATAAATATATATATATATATATATATATATATATATATCACGAATTTTTTCAAAATGTCTTATTCATAACTTCCTGTGATTTTAAATATATAATACGTAAATTAATCCCAGACTAAAATAATTTAAATATTAAATGCATAAAAAATTTAACAATGTTTACTCACTTTTCTTTATTTACCATTAGATTATGTCACTTAGCAACCTCCACAATTTACCCAGACTTTTTCAGTAAACTTGATGAATATTTATGAGCGTCTCTTAAATTTAAAACTTTCGAAAAAACTAACATTTTTCCTTTCATAAGTTACAATGGTAATATGGGTCATTTCTGACAAGGGAACATTCGGTATTTATTGACCGAGCAGCCAGTTCTACCCTCGTTTGAAATCTTTACGGTATTAATCGAAGGTTCTTTCCTCACGTTTTATTTGAAATATTGAAGGAACAGAGATAAAAAAATAAATAAACCACCTAACTAGTATGTTTAAATGGTTGGAAGAACAGGGATAAGGAGAGATATAAAAAAAAAACGTACTTAGAGCTACAAGGGGCAGGAAGTTGTGGAGAGCTATAGTCGCCTAGCTCCTGAAAGATTCCTATTCGAGTTTTATGTGCTGTAGATCTTAGCTGTTGCTTTTGTTGAAATTCCTCAAGTGATGTGGCTTCTGTGATTTGGTACAGTTCTTTGTGATTGTTGAGGGCCAGAAGGTTCTAAGAAGGATGGGTCTACAGTTTTCATTCGCTCAAAGCTATTCTAACCATTGATCTGAGAAAGGGTATGCAATACAGCTGACGCGAGATATGACATTCATATGAAAGTATCATAACATTCGCATTCTAACACACAAGAAGAAGGATTCAAGTCACGGGGTTTACAACCTTCTACGCTTTATCGTATGTTTCTACTTCAGGTGATTCGGGTGACGGATTTGAATAGACACACACCGTTTGAGGTCATTTCAGAAAGAATTCGAAAAGGTTAATAAATTCTTTATTTAACCGAGAGGAAAACATTAAATCGACTTAGGCTTGTTTACTTTTGGCTACTATTATTGGACATCGGGAGTTTTCAGCCAATCACGATGCAAACGAGAAGTGAAAGTGAGAGGTGAAAGAGTAGGAGGGGAAGAGGAGAGGAAGAGAAAAGGGGGAAGAAAGATTTCGTTGATCCTCATAGAGCGATAATGATCTGAAATGCGTAACTGGTAGAAAACGGAAGAAAGAAAAGAGAAATAAAGACAATTGGGAAAGAAGGGGAAAAGAGGAAGCAGAAAGAAAGCAAAAGGAAAAGAAGAAAAAAAAAGAGAAAGAAGGTAAAAAAGAAAGACGGAAATAGAAAGAGAGAAAAGAAAGAAAAGAGAAAGAAAAAGAAAGAGAAAAAGAAAGAGAGAAAAAGAAAGAAAAAGAGAAAAAAGAAAGTGTAAAAGAAATAGTGACCAAGAAAGAGGGAAAAATAGAAATAAAGAAACAAAAAGAAAAAAAGGGGGAAAAAGAAAGAGTCAAAAAGATAAAAGAATTAGAAAAAAGAGAAAGCAACAAAAAGAAAGAGAAAAAGAGAGAAAAACGAAAAGGGAAAAAGAAACAGAGAAAAAAGATAGAAAGAAAGAGAAAGAGAAAAAATAAAAACACAAAAAGAAAAGAAAAAAAGAAAAGGAAAGAGAAATATTAAGAGAGAAAAAGAAAAAGGTTTGAAAATGGGAAAAAGAAGAAAGAAAAAGAAAAAAATGTAAAAAGGAAGAAACTCTGATAAAAGTGTTGTAGAAAAAAAGAAAGAAGAAAAACTGAGTGAAAAAGAAAGAGAAAAATAAAATAAAGAAAATAAAGAAGGAAAGAAAGCGAATGGAAATAAAAAAAGAAAGAAAGAAAGAAAGGAAACGAAAAAAGAATGACACGAAAGAAGGAAGGAAAGAAGGAAAGAAGAAAGAAAGAATGAGAGAAGAAAAACAGAAAAAGTTAACCAGAAAGAAAAATATTGTGAAGGAAGCAAAGGAAGCGAGAATAGAAAGAAAGAAAGAAAAACAATAAAAATAATATATATATATATATATATATATATATATATATATATATATATATATATATATATATATAATTATATATATATATATATTAGAGAGAGAGAGGGAGGGAGGGAGGAGGAAAAAGCTACAAATAAAATAATCAATAAAGCAAACGAAAAAAAAAATGAAATGGAGGAAGGAAGGAAGGAACGAAGGAAGGAAGGTAGGAATGAAGGAGGGAAGGAAGGAACGAAGGAAGGAACGAACGAAGGAAGGAAGGAGGGAAGGAAGGAACGAAGGAACGAAGGAAGGGGGGAAGGAACGAAGGAAGGGGGGGGAAGGAACGAAGGAAGGAGGGAAGGAACGAAGAAACGAAGGAAGGGAGGGAAGGAACGAACGAACGAAGGAACGAAGGAACGAAGGAAGGAAGGAGGGAAGGAAGGAAGGAACGAATGAAGGGAGGGAAGGAAGGGAGGGAAGGAAGGAACGAAGGAACGAAGGAAGGAATGAAGGGAGGAACGAAGGAAGGAAGGAACGAACGAAGGAACGAACGAAGGAACGAAGGAAGGAAAGAAGTAAGGAACGAAGGAAGGAAGGAAGTAAGGAACGAAGGAAGGAACGAACGAAAGGAAGGAGGGAACGAACGAAGGAAGGAAGGAACGAAGGAACGAAGGAAGTAAGGAACGAAGGAAGGAAGGAAGGAAGTAACGAAGGAAGGAAGGAACGAAGGAACGAAGGAAAGTAACGAAGGAACGAAGGAAAGGAACGAAGGAACGAAGGAACGAAGGAACGAAGGAAGGAAGGAAGGAACGAAGGAACGAAGGAAGGAACGAAGGAAGGAACGAAGGCAGGAACGAAGGAACGAAGGAAGGAAGAAGGAACGAAGGAAGTAAGGAACGAAGGAAGTAAGGAACGAAGGAAGTAAGGGGCGAAGGAAGGAAGGAAGTAAGGAACGAAGGAAGGAAGGATCGAAGGAAAAAACGAAGGAAGGAACGAAGGAACGAAGGAAGTAAGTAAGGAAGGAAGGAAGGAAGGAAGGAAGGAACGAAGGAAGGAAGGAAGGAAGGAACGAAGGAAGTAAGGAAGGAAGGAACGAAGGAAGGAAGTAAGGAACGAAGGAGGGAAGGAAGTAAGGAACGAAGGAAGGAAGGAAGTAAGGAACGAACGATGGAACGAAGGAAGTAAGTAACGAAGGAAGGAAGGAACGAAGGAAGTAAGGAACGAAGGAAGGAAGGAACGAAGGAAGGAAGGAAGGAAGGGAGGGACGAAGGAAGTAAGGAACGAAGGAAGGAAGGAAGTAAGGAACGAAGGAAGGAAGGAAGAAACGAAGGAAGGAAGGAACGAAGGAACGAAGGAAGGAAGGAACGAACGAAGGAACGAAGGAAGTAAGGAACGAAGGAAGGAAGGAAGTAAGTAACGAAGGAAGGAAGGAAGGAAACGAAGGAACGAAGGAAGGAAGGAACGAAGGAACGAAGGAAGTAAGGAACGAAAGAATGAAGGAAGGAAAAACCAGAAAACTTAACTAGAAACATAGAAAGATTGTCAAGGATGCAAAGAAAGAAAGAAAGAAAGAAAGAAAGAAAGAAAAATTATGGCAAAATTGATCCTGAAAGTGAGGGGAAGTTGATGAGAAGAGAATGATTGAGAGAGAAGGGGTCGTTGGAAGAAGAAAATAGAAAATTAAAAAACAAAGAAGAACAAAAGAATTACAGAAATAAAGGAAGAAAGAAATTATGAATGAAATAAGAAGAAAATATAAGGCTACAAGAAGTAAATGAAAATCTAGATATAATGAAAGACTGAAAAAGAGAAAACTGGCGTAAGACAAAGAAAGAAAGAAAAAAAGAAAGAAAGAAAGAAAGAAATGAGAAAAGAGATAGAAAAAAATTTTGAATGAGAAAAACGGGAACGACAACGAATGAACGCTGAAAGGAAAAAGGGAGAAAAAAGAGGAAAAAAGGGAGTGAAAAGGAAAGTTTGAAACAGAAAGAAAGCTAGAAAGAAAAGTTGGAAAAAAATGCAGAAAAGAAACTCAAAAAGTAGAAAGACATAAGTGAAAGAAAGAAAGAAAGAAAGAAAGAAAGAAAAATGAAAGCAAAATGAAAAAGAGAAGGAACAAAAAAGGAGAAAGAAAAGCTGATAAAAAGAAATTCTGAAAGAAGTTGTCAAGGAAAGAAGAAAAGAAAAGGAAAATAAAAAGAAATGAAGAAAGGAAGTGACGATAAAGAAAGAAAAAAAAAGAAAGCTTTTGTGATATCGAAGTAAAATTCAGTCGTTGTGTGAAACTTGGTTTAATGCGCCGACCGCTTTGTGAAATGTATGCAAAGGACGTTTGTTTTGAAAGTGCGGTGTATTGGCCACATCTGGACGGATGTATGGCAAACATAATACGCTTTTGATGACCTCCCCCTCCCGCTCAGTCCTGCTTTTCCGTCCACTGTGAAGTGCATCAATAGGTAATTGCTAACTGGTAGTGGCATTTTAGAGTAAATTGTCTGTTGCCAATCGAGAAGGAAAGCAAAAGAGACCGAAGGCTTACCGACTGCTTTCTACGGCACGATGATCAGAGACGTTTAATCTGCCGTTAAAATAAACATGTCTTGCTCATAAATAGACAAAGGCAAATGCGTCTATTTGAGGGCATACTTTTCTTGGACCCTGTCAAGGTTAACAACAAAGGTAACAGCTGTGTTTTAAATACCGGCATAGATTTTAATAGTTTTTCGAGAGTGGTTTTACGCGGGATGGTAAGCTACCCAATCTCATCACTATCGACCAACTTTTGTGAAGATAAGGGAGAAGCGTGTTCTTGCCTTTCCGGAAGCTGGAAGGACGAATTGATGTAAAACCTCTCTATCTTTCACGTTCTTATAGTGGTTAACTGGGGCAGGAAATGGCTTGCAAAGGCTAAAGCCTCCAAAACGAAACTGCTCTCATAGAGAAATTTTCTTGCGCGCCATCAACATGGCTGATGTTAGACTCATGAAGAGTAACATCGAATCAACTGCTGAATCTCCTGCAAGGAAAGTTGGGTTACTGTGTTCATACCAGAAACTTTTTCTCGTCAGTGTCCATTTTGCACATTTACATCTTTACCATTCGCCCATGCATTGAATACTGTTGACCGTTCTGGTCTGGTCCTCCTGCTATTAATCTCGAGGTTCTTTACAAAATCCAAAGAAGGATCGCTAATGTAATCGATCCTGACTTGGACTTCAGTCACTTTCACACCGACGTGATGTGGCTTCTCTCTGTCTTTTCATGGCAACTCTTCTTAGTCTGTAACCCTCTACCTAGAGAGACTCCCATGAGGATGCTTCACAGATCACTACAATCTTAACCAATTCAAATCTAGGCTCAACTGCTATCTTCCCCAACTATCTGTATAAATTATGTCTCTTACTCTGTAAACCTATACCTTGAGCGGCTCCCGGGACTTATACAGAGTAAAAATCATCGCCATATCTGGTCTATTGCTCCTGCTATTCATCTCGAGGTTCATGGCAAAATCCAAAGAAGGATCTCTAATGTAATAAATCCTGACTTGAAATCTCGACTTCAGTCACTTTCTCACCAACATGACATGGCTTCTCTCTGTCTTTTCTACAATCGAGTTGGTACAATGTATCGGCTTTTTGTTATGTTGGTGTTGCTTAAAGAGGAAGTATATTTTCGATTTTTTTTATAGCTAAAATCATCCTTTGTTCCAGCCCGAGTGAGTTTGTGATATCAAACAGATAAAGATTAAGGATTCCATGGAATTGGAAGCAAATGTTAACAAAATAGCAGGTATGCTCAGAATCAGGAAGAAAGAGTTACCTTGGATACATATTGAAGAAGGGGGTATTGTAGAACTTAAGTTTCACATGGCATCTTGAGTGTAAGAAAAGATAAGGAAAGGGGCCGATTTTTAATGCGATACGACCGTAAGACCTGTCTTCAACAGCTAGTAAATCTGACCATTTAGAACAGGAGTCTCTAACTCTTTTTTTTTTACATCATCGCCCACTTTCACATGGAAACATTTTCCACCCACCATCTGTAAAATAAATATTAAAAAACATACAAGTGATTGGTAAATCAGGTTTTGACAGACCCTTTGCTTGTTTTGATAAATTCGAGATGGTCAATGTGACAAAAAAAAAAGTAAAAACAATTTTATATTAAACTAGACTACATCGGTTACTGACGGTACAGGTCATAAAACATTGAAGTTTATTTCAGCATTAAAAAAAATCTGTTTGAAGAAAGTTGAAATAAAAATACTTACAGTATAAAGAACTCGTATTTTTAAATCTTATTCACTTAAAATATTTTTTAAATCAGGTTAACTTAATATTTTTAATATGCCAAAAAATGCTTTTAAATCATATTCCCTTGCAAATATTTTTTAAATATTTAAAATATTTCTTGTTTAAACAAAGTTAAATATAAATAATTGCTCTACAAACAACAGGGCGAAACGGCAAAGCGGGATCTATTTGTGTTTGTCTTTAATTAAAAAAATTGTATGCTTGAAGAAAGTTGAAATAAAAATACTTACTGCATAAACAACACGTATTTTTAAATCTTATTCACTTAAATCAGATTAACTTAAATCATTATACGCCGGACAGATTCACCACACAAGCACGCACGCAATCACAGTGTTATATAGATAAAACGTTAATTCTTAATTTTACTTTGTCATCTTTGTCTATTTATATCCAAACAAAATATTCGTCTAAAGAACTATCTGGATGCTAATGAACCTTCTCAAAACTCTAGAAAATAATAAAATAGTTCTTGTTTGTAGAGATATTTATATCTTACCTAGGAATGTGAGTTATTAGGGCCTTTTTAATACAGGTTCTTGAATTTTTCTTTTGTATATTTTTTCGTGTAGCATAAGTTAAAATGCGTTTTTAATATTCAAATTCATATATCGCCTACCAAAATTTCCAGTCGCCCGCCATTTTCTTTATAGTTGTTCATCGCCCAACCAACTGTTGAAATCGCCCACCAGAGGGTGATATCACTTAAGTTGGAAAACTCTAGGTTAGATGATGAATCAATTAAATACAGCTTTGTATGCGTCAGCAAATATTTTAAATAAACAATAATAACAGGAACAAAGAACTATAGAAAAAAATTTAAAAAAAATATGAATAGAATTACATTGAATAAATTTGAAGAAACATGAATAAAATATATGAAGAGGAAAATAAAAGGAAGATTTATAATTAAGTGAATTAGATTGTTTAAAAGTCTCACAGTTCAATCTGTTTGGTCAAATGTCTCGGCTTTTTTGGTAAGTTAGCGGCGCTTAAAAAAAGTTGGCTCCCCTGTGCCGCGCCAGGAAATTTTTTTCTCGCCGGAGTCGATCCTTCAAATCTACAAATCAACCATTCGCCTTTGCATGGATTATTGCTGGCATATATGGTCTGGTGCCCCTTATATTTGTCTCAAGGTTCTTGATAAGATCCAGAGACGGATATGCAATGTAATTGACCCTGATCTGGCATCTCGTCTGCAGTCACTCTCTCACAGACGAGCCGTCGCCTCCCTCTGTCTTTTTTACAAATACTTTCAAGGTAACTGCTCCGAGGAGCTGCTTTCACTGGTTCCCAGACTTCATGAATTTAAGCGTTCTACTAGGCTGGCATTCCGCTCTCACCCTTTCACTGTCGAAACTGTTAAATGTAGCCGTCTCTTCTACTCCAATGGCTTCATATCTCGCACATCTCGCCTGTGGAACTCCCTCCTCTTTTCCTGATAGCTATAATCTCCAACTATTCAAATGTAACGTCAATCTACGTCTCCAGGTGCCTTGATCTATCCCCTATCCTTCTCTTCACCCTTTCCTCTATCACTCCTATTTGCTATCGCCCCAACTCTCTGTAACCCTTTGCGTGCTAGTGGCTTCACACCTTGCTTGGGGTGAAACCCTTAAAAAAAAGAAAAAAAGTTCCTTTTGATTTTTTGTTTGTTTTCTTTTACGGCATATCAAGATCTGAATACTTCACATCTTGTACTTTTAACTAAATTATCTAGGCACACATTAAACACATTTATAATTTAAATAAAAAATACGAGATAGACGGTATACACTTTATTTGTTCTTTATTTTATCCTTCTGTTGGATTCCAATCCATATTTGATGTACATTTGTGAAACACACCTATTCTATAGTTAATAGACTCTCCCACCTAATATAAGTAGTAGGAGTAAGAGAAACGATGGTCAGTCAATGTCGGACGACCGGCTGAACGGTTGAACTCTCTGCCTTCGGGCGGGGAGGAATCCGAACGAGGGTACGCCGAAGGACGGAGTCTCGTTCGGGGAGGTAAACCGACCCTGAACCCGTTTATACGGGTTCAAAGGGTATATTTTTGGCCGAGCCCACGGGCTCGGAGAACCCACGGGCTCGGAGAACCCATGTTAAACCGGCCTTGTGCCACATGATACCCTCGTGGGGGGGTGACTAAATACTAGTCAATGTCGAACGACAGTCGAACTCTCTGCCTTCGGGCAGAGAGGAACCCGGACGAGACTATGCCGAAGGGCAGAGTTTCGCCTGGGGAGGTAGACAGACCCGATCCCGTTTATGCGGGGTCTACGGGGATTTTTTGGCCGAGCGTACGGGCTCGGGAATCCCATATTAAATTCGGCCTTGTGCCACATGTGACTGCGTGGGGCAGTTACTAAATAGCGTCGATGCCGGACGACAGTAGTCTACAGTTAGTCGAATACGAAAGTAGTCAGCGACCACAACAAGATTACTCTGCGTAATACCTATTATATCAAGTTCCCTAACGTTTTGTACGTCGAACCGATTTTAGGGCGGATTTAGTACAAATACAAGACTCCACTGCGAAATAACTCCACAACAATTTGACCCCAAATTCATAATTTTACCCAGTATTACTATCTCTCGTTTCTGCAATACTGCATAACGAGTAGATAATAAATACTTGTTTTTTTTTTTGTTTCCATAAATGACCGTATCTCATTTTTACGAGTTTTATGTATATATAAATGTTAGGTGGGGTTATGATTATTTATTCAGAGTTATAAGTCTCCTACAAGTGAAAGAAAGAAAAAAGGAAAGAAAAAAAGAAAGAAAGAAGGCAGGCGAGAGAAAGAAAGAAAGAAAGAAAGAAGATAGGGGATGCGATAATCCTCCTATGGATTTAACGTCTGCTTCAGTGAAATAGAAAAACATGTCAGTTTTAAATCTTCTCGTTTGTACACTTTTACTTCTTTAAGTAATGACCTATATTCGTACTCATGATTGTTATTGCCCTATTTAAAATTATCAAGCTCAAATATTTAACATTACGATAGAGAGATATCCGCTGGTATTTTATCGCCATTGAATTCACAAGGAGACTATTTAATTATGATTCATCAGGAAATTCAAATAGCGAAGCCATGAAATCTTTCACTGTGACTACTCGTTATTTTTATTATTTTTTAAAAGAGTAGTAATAATTTCTTGAATAAGAAAAAAACTAAAAGGCGGTCTACAGCATAATGTTAGTGTGTGTAACCTTAGTTTGCATTGTTAGTCATTCTCTTCTATCCTTTCATGACACACTTTTCCAGTTAAACAAAGACGATAAAAATAAATAAAATAAAAATTCCTTGCTTTCCTTTCCTTCCTTATCCTCACCGGGGGGAGAGACGCCTTCTGAAAAGAGTTTTATCTCTTGCTCTAGATAATAAAAGGGTGACACGGAGACATGCTTTTCTGGAAAAAAATGTTATCGTCTGCTTTTAAGAGAGAAGGGGAGTTGGCTTTGTTAGAAAAAAAAAAAGATATTAACCAAAGAAAATAAATGAATAAAGAAAGACGTTGCAATAATAAGGGGGAGGATGCAGATTTAATGGAATACTCCTCCTAATGTATTTATTTAATTTTTTTTTTTTTAACTGTTTTTGATTTTCTTCCCTTCTGGTGAAATTAGGATGACGCACAGCGTCAGTGAACAGCGAATAGATAAAGAAACAGTCCTTCTTCCATTTGTTACCAGTTTCTGAATCCATTTTTCAACTCGTCTTTGTGAAGTGACAGTGATGAACTGATTGCAAGGAATTCTCTAGACAGCAGTTGAGTTTTAAAAACAAGGCCGGTGTGTATTGTTAGTCAAAATCTGGGAATCATTTAAAGCTTTCTAATCTAAATAAATAAACGGTAAATTCTGTCTGTCCATCCAAGTGTCTGTAACCTATCTAACTTGGATCACATTTGATCTAAATAGACATATTATATCTTTTTTGGAAGCAGGATGATCCTGGGATTGAAAATCTGTCCTTCATCTGTTGCTTGAAAAATCTAGTATTGTGTCGAGATGAGGAGGGAACAGTTAAAAATTCAATTTTTAAAATAACTGAAAAAAAATTAATGATTAAAGTAACACAACACTTTGTTTTTTGTTTTAAATTCAGTTTAAAATATCTCCAAAACTTTGCAAATTGAGGTAATCAATTTTATTTCTTCAAAATACCAACGAATCAGAATTCAAGTGTAAAGTTCCGCAAAGTTTATGATTTGAAGAACTCAATTTTGGACCTGAATTGCAATTTCGGCCCAAATCGGTCTTTTGATCTGAACTGGACTTAGAGCTCGGCTCAAAGTTACATTGAGGTTTTGAAGTTCCATCGGGTGAATTGAAAAATTCAAAGTTATTTTCTTCAAAATTATCATTGCTTTTCTCTAAGTTAGACAGGAGGTCTTTCTAGTTTGGGGCTAGAGACGCAATTAGCCAACCACAGTCTAATTAGCCCTCCGCAGGCTAATTAGCCTACCGCACACTTTTAAGTCAGTTAAAAAATAAAATGAAAATGACTTATTTCAAATATTTTATTAGTCTGATATGCAAATTTTTATCACCATTGAAAATCCAAAGAAGAATTTGCAATGTTAATGGTCTTGACCTTGCATTTCGACTTCAATCACTATCCACGTTGTTTTCCCGCGTTTTTCTGATAAATAGTATAATGATAATTATAATGGTTGCCAGATTTTATGTATTTAAGTGCAGTGCTAGATTGGCGCCAAATTCTCGTCAATTTACAGTTGAAATGGTTAGATGTAACCGTAAGTTCTATGTCGATAGTTTCTTCTCTCCAAATTCACTTCCGACTTCTACGTTCCCAGTCAACTTTTAACTTTAAAAATTTAAATGAGAAGTCAATCATTATGTTCTGTTTTCTTAATTGTTGTTCTTTTATTGTCCCCTCTTCATAACTGTTCTTTTTTATTATTCTCATACTCTCTAGCTCCCTTGCATCTTAGCGGCTTTATTCCCTTGCTTGGGAGGAAATGATTATAAAAAAATATTTAGATCTGTCTATATTTCTGAGATGGTGTATTATGTACACTATTTAAATTATTCGGACTATTGTCCTCATCTTTGTCACCATATTTATTACAACTAGGTTTAAAACCGCCCTAATCTTTTCTGATGAGCGCTTGAAATAAGACAAACAATATCTGACAGTATAGCAGTCTTCCTCTTTGGCACTGATGCTGTTTATTATTTGCTTTTTATATACAGTAATGTTTTATGCTATAGTTTAGATTAGTTGATCTATGGCCACTTCAACCCTTGAGTCATACAGTTTCAAAGTCATTCTCACTTTTTGACTTGGAATCATGTTATATATATATATATATATATATATATATATCAGGCATGCTATAGTTAGTGGATAAAAGTCCTCATTATCAACGCAAATTACTAAGTAGTTTATCTCGAACTGAAGACACAAAAACAAATTTTTACTATGTAACGTAAAAAATTAAAAACTAAAAACGAATACACTATTTACATTATTCGGACTATCGTCCTCATCTTTGTTGCCATATTTATTGCAACATTTCGGCCGTTGTACGCTCCGGCCTTCTTCAGGTGGTTGGAATGTCGAACTGAACATTTTATTTCTCTCACTAAGGTAGTCTGTTCTAGTTCCACGTGCCATGTTTAATGGATGTCAGTTACCAGTTATCTCCTGTTAATTTCCATCTCCAAGTTCTCCACTGCCTTAACTGGGTATTGAACTCACACTCTTCAGTGGTAGGACCCAAAGAGTGTGAGTTGGGAGGAAATGATTATGCTTTCCGACCAACTTTAATCTTCAAAAATTTAAATACAGTGTCAGTCGCTATCTACTGTTTTCCTGATTACTCTTCTATTCAGTGCCGGATTTAGCAGACTGAAGCCACGGGCCCCAAAATCTGGAGGTTCTCCAACCAAGGTGTATAATATTTTTGACGTAGGACTTCCTTACACATGCTGTCATAACGTATTGGAATCTCTAAATAATCCTTCGGTAATTTTAAACACTTGTCATCATCCTCGGCTTTACACAAATTGTTTAATTTTAGAACACTTCCGTTTTCCTCCGCAAGTGAAAATGGGAGATTTGGAATGGTCTCGCAAGTAGAATAGCCGAGGACCTCTCTTCATCTAAATCCGGCTTTGCTACTATTGTTCTCGATCCTTAGTAATGTTAACTGTTTTCTACTTCTTCCACGTCTAGTAACTCCTTTTGTCTTAGTGGCTTTACTGTTTTTCTTGGGGTGAATTCAATTACAAGTATATGTATATAATACGCCACACAAACACACACACACACATATATATATATATATATATATATATATATATATATATATATATATAGAGAGAGAGAGAGAGAGAGAGATAATATAAAAGGCTCAAACACTAATATCTCATGGTTATAATTTATTACATTGGAATCGTCGATCCAATTCATCAGACCTACAAATTCAAAGAGATTTTGAATTTGTAGGTCTGATGAATTGTATCGTGATTACGATTCCCCTGTAATAAATTATAACCATGAGATATTAGTGTTTGGCCTTTTTATATTATATTCTTACACTGTCCTGAACATTGAGTTCTACCTGGATTATATCCTCTTGGGAATTCCTTATATATATATATATATATATATATATATATATATATATATATATATATATATATATATATATTTCATTGAAAACGACAGACAAGTTGCTTTTATTTATTTCTTTTATTCAATTTCTCATGCGATCTCATTTTTTTTCTTTTCGGATGATAAATTATATAAAAACTGTCCGAAAGTTATTTTTATCCGAGAGCTTTCGGCTATGCATTTAGCCATTTTCAAGGATTATATTTCAACTGTTAAAATTAGAAATAGTTTGTTGTTTGTATGTTTTATAAAATGTTTTCATTTTCTTTCTGTTTCAAAACACGGTCAAGATATTATGTCCATGTTCAAAGTTAATATTATTAAGTGTTGGTTTGTTTGTTTTTATTAATAAGGCTTCCATTATTTTTAGCCTTTTTTTTGTATGCAGATGATGCTACAGTGTAACCCGGATATAAGAGACCCAGATATAAGAGAAACCCGGATATAAGAGAGATTTTCTCTGGTCCCAAATTAGAGCCTGTGTTAATGTATATAAAATAGACCAAACCCGGATATAAGAGAAACCCGGATATAAGAGACTTATTATCCGGTCCCGACAACTCTATTATATCCGGGTTATACTGTATTATATTAGTTTTGTCGACAAGTATGTTCCGATTAGTGTCCGGTAGGTCTCCATGAATATTTATATGAGATCTAATTGAGCTATGATCAAAAAAGTGTAGAGTGAGTCTGCGTGTCAAACGGGTTGTAGTGTGGCCTATATAATTAAATGTCGTTTTCAATGAAATGTGCATGAAAGAAGAATTGCTGCCTAAATACACACACACACGCACACACACACACATATATATATATATATATATTGACCACTAATATTATCAATATATATATATATACACATATATATATATATATATATATATATATATATACACGTTTGTGTGTGTGTAACAATTGAAAGGCAGTGTGCAAAATGACAATGACCCACCCGGTGCCGTGCTATCTTCGACCCGTTGACGCGTACTGATATCGCTATCGAAGAGGGTTCGTATATATAATACGCCACATATATCTTCAAGAATGATTTGTCCATTTTTAGAAAAACAATTTAAACTTTTAAAAATTATAATTAAAAAAAGAGGTGGGGTTACACCTTTAACCGTTCATTATATTAATGGGACTTTTTTTTAATCAATTCACCCCAAGAAGGGCAATAATGCCCCAAAGACACAAGGGGCTACTGTAAGTAAAAGAGAAGGAAAAGACTTCAGAAAGAACCGGAAACCCATTCCTAAACAGGAAACAAGGGATAAACATCTACTCCTGTTCAAAATACCTGGGTGATGGGAACCGGACGATATGCGAACCTATCTACATACTCCTAGTTTTAGTAGACTTTAGAAGGGACGAGAAACCCAATCCTAAACAGGAAACAAAGGATAAACCTCTACTCCTGTTCAGTAAATGAGAAAAAGAACCTTAATGGAAAACGATTACAGAGAAATTTTTTCCGGAATTCGTCGTGACTTAACTTCTTCATAATGGTTAGAGAATTCTTTTTTAATCAATTCACCCCAAGCAAGGTGATAAAGCCGTTAAGATGCAAGATACTATTAAAGGGGAAGAGAATGAGAAGACTTTAAGAGGAACGAGAAAGCCAATCATAAACAGGAAATAACGGATAGACCTCTACTCCTGTGTAAATGACCGGGGATTTTTGAATGATTGATTTGTTTTCTACGGTTATCAACCCATAGCAGGTTATTTAAAGATAGAAAATATTTTTATATTGTATGAAGTTTTTTTCAGTGATACAATTCTTACAAATTAACCCATAACTGGGGGGCTAAGTGGTGGATTCATGCCTTTCCCAAGGAGATTTGTGCGTAAGTGTATATATCGAACTCGACGAGAATTGAAACTCGACCCTCCAATTTCCGATTCCGAGCCGTTATTTATTATACCATAGTCAAATCCAGTACCTGGTATTCACAAGCGGTCACCCATCTAGGGCTTGGCCATATTCGACGTTGCTTAACTTAGCGTGTACTATCTAACCGATCTTAGATCATTCTTTCGCTTTCTTACTAAAAATC